TCGTCATCCTATATGAAAGGTGCTATACAAGTGCAGATTGTATTGAAGACATTCAAAACAGTCAGTGTCTCATAGTCCATAACTCAAATCTTCAGCACAAGTTAGCAATTTTATACAGTGAGTAGGATAATATTAATAATCCTGCATTTGATATAACACCTCATCACGTCTTTGAGACGTCTCAAAGAGCTTCACGAATATACTGTAAAGTGACTGAATATTTTGCGGGCAAAACGCGGCAGCCAATTGCGCAAAGCAGCCGTGGATTGAAGTGACCAATTTACTATTTTTTTGAAGGAATTATTACCCCCAGAAAGCAATCCGCCAATCGACTAACAACCGGGTACTTACTCACTGCTCGGTAAACAGAGGCGTGTGCTATGGGGCAGAGTCAATGGTCTCTGTCTACCTGGGAGTACTCAATACTGAAGCTCGGTACAAAAGTACGGAAAATGTTACATTCCCCAGTACTGACAATATCAAGTGAGATATGATATCGTGGACTGGATCTCAAAAACAACAAATCTGAGTCGACACCATATGTGAAAATATTTACTACATTGTCACTACAATTGCTACATTGTTACGACAACAGTTGGCACTCCTTTTACACACTTCACATATAAAAAAAANTCACATGCGTTCAATTTACTTCATCACAAGTAAGGAGACAGTCATAGGAACACAACATCAAAATACTCTGCTCATCAATCAAGTGATCAAAAGCACCTATTTACATAACAAATAAACGTTGTTATTTGCACCCACCATTTTCAGAACATAAATGCGGAGGAATTCCACTTGGGTCTCGATTTATTCTATTCTCTTAGCATTTCAGAGCATTCAGAATTTGGCACATTCTTAAATTCAACCTTAATTTTGAAGTCTGCTTTCTGTAGGTTCGTTTAAGAACCAAAATGATTTCAAAATGATTACAGAATTCAACAACTTGCCAAATTCTTGACATTCTAAAAATCTAAAATGCTACAAAAATAAGAGCAAAACTAGACCCAGGTGAAATTATTCCCCCAATACTATTGGTACATCCATCATTTGCATATTAACAGTAAAATAATTTAACAGAAACAGACTACACATGATAACTCCCAAGGTCATTCACGTCCATCACATAGACTGAAAAAAGGACCAGTTAACAGAGGTGAAAAGCAAACCCACTCGGTGAAGCCAGGAAAAGACCCACCAAGAGGTTCATTCATTCCGCTTCTCTGGCATGTGGGTTGAGTAAAGCTAAGCAGTGTGCGCGTGTGTGTGTCTGGGGGAGGGAAAGATAGTGTGGGACCCTTTTGAAAGATGAAGCTGGGACTGAAATTCAGTGATACTGTACAGATGTTGCGTGTGGATTGCCATCACCACAAAATGAGCACGAGATTTTGTGAAATGCCACCCAAAGAGACAAGGAAGTTGACAAGGAAGGAAGCTGCATGCAAAAGCAACAGTGTGTGACAGAAAAGTTGGTTTCAATGGTCAACAGCTTTTCCTTGTTTCGCCCACAAAACACACAATTAATCCACTTTACAAGTTATGAGTCCTGGCCAACAACCCCTCACTAAAATTGGTCATTCACTTTATGGCTGTTTGTGGGACATTGCTGTGTGCATATTAAACAAGTGTGTGCAACCCTGTGAAGCGCTTTGATACGTCCTTCTGACATGAAAGGCGCCATATCAAATGTAAGGTTTAAGGATTAACAGGAAGAGTAGAAAAGCATTGGATGGGGGTGTGGAAGAAAGTCTCAAGGAACAGCATTTACAAATAAAGCAGGAATGGGCAATATGGAATTACTAAACTCAACTATCCTCTGAATATTACTCAGTGAGTCAATGGTAAGATACCTTGCATTTATCTGTACTGAACTTCATATGCTGTTATCAGCCCAATTTGCATATCCTGTCAAGGTCTCTTTGTAAGATCCTTGCTGCCCCCACAGTTCCCCAGCTTGGTGTCGTTTCCAAACTTAACCATCTTACATTGAGTCTGTGTATCCAGGCCATTAATATAAACAAGCAATGGGAACTGTTCCAGGACCTTGGGACATCCTCCGGACGTGACAAATGCTATACAAATGTAATTTTTGTTTGTTTGTCTCAATCCAGACCCCTGAAGCATCCCCTATTTTGATCTCGCTTGACTAATGGCTTTGCTTCCGTCCTTTTAGATAATTTTGAATCTATGTTCACGTATTGCCCTTGATATCTGATGACATCAATTTGTGAAGGAGTCTTTCATGTGGTACTTTGCCAAATGCCTTTTGGAAGTCTACGTCATATGATTTCCCAGTTAAATTAAGTTGTCAGCTCCTCCTATGAGGTGGGTCAGACAAGATCTGCATCCCTTCTGAACCTGTGCCAACTGTCACAGCTGAAACACTCCAGACATCCTATGCACTGATCAATACAATACACATTTATATAACGTCTTTCGTGTCAGGAGGACGTCTTAAACCACTTGACACTGCTGGTTGGGTAGAGATCAGTTACCA